CCTCTCTCTCGTAATGGATCCGAGGAGCGATGACGTCGTGTCGTCCATGAGATGCAAGAGTGCGGCAAATCTGTGTTCCGGCGAAGAAATCGAAGAAGAAGCAAATACCACTTCTAGCTGCTCGAACCAAAGTTTGGGCTGGGCTTTGTTGAATGATCTGAATTCGACCTTAGGAAGTCGATTTTTGCAATTGTCTTTTTCCGGTTCGATGGGATTATGTCCAGAGGCAGCAGCGATTGACAAGGCGATTACAGTATTGTCACATTGCATTGCGAGTTTGTTGTGTGATTTTTTGAAATCCGATATTTTTTCTTCAGAGAGAGATGTATTTGACGACAGCCATTCGAGGTACGCATCATCGAAAGTGCTTACCATAGAGAGGATTGCGGACGAAAGAGCTTTGGCTGCTTCCGGCGGGCAGGATTCAACGAGCTTGTTTTCGGCGGACTGTACGAGAGAGTTGAGGCGTTCCGTCAAGTTGCTGTATTTTTCGAGGAGGATTCGTTCGTCATTTTTCTTCGGCGCCATCTTTCAAGAATTAGAATTGCCGAGGAGAGTTCGTAAATCAGAAGATTTTCCACGGTTAACAGGATGCGCGTGGAGAGGAAAGTCCAACCTGGTCGACGAAGGATTAAGAGGAGACCAGGTTTCGGCGGGGTCACCAATAAAGGGGTTGCGAAACCCTTTGGTGACGAAGAATCCACGAAATAAATAATTCAAGACTTGACTTCGGAATCAATCCAGAGGAACTGGTTTATTGTAAGTCAACCGTGTTGTGCCTCTCACGAACTGTCATGCGTGTTGTGCCTCTCCTTATCTAAGTAGGTGAATGTGCCTCTATAGGCCAATGAGTACATACAATGATATAGTAACAATGGAATAAAGACTATCGGTGGAATACCATATAGCCCCCCCCAGTCGCGTACTAGCAGGTAAGGGACTATATCTCAGTGAAGGGCGGAACTTGAACCGGAAATAGGGCGTGGAGTGATTCGAAGTGAATCATGTGATTC